AGAGTGATAGGGCATTGGAACAGGCTGCCCAGGGAGGTGGTGGAGTCACCATCCCTGGCTGTGTTTAAGGGACGTTTAGATGCGGTACTGAGGGACATGGTGTAGGGGAGGACTTTGTAGAGTAGGGTAGATGGTTGGACTCGATGATCTCAAGGGTCTCTTCCAACCCAGATGATTCTATGAACTATTGAAAATTCACCTTGTTTTTTACTTGAAATTTTATTCAGTTCATGTCATGAAAGCTCCAAGACTTGAATTAATACCACCTGCACTCACCAAAGAAGCATGAGAATGTCAGCGACCATAAAATAAAGTGAGACAACACACCACTTGGGAGATTAAAGAGCTTCAAACTTGCAAGAAAAAATTAAAACCAGATGTTCTCCTTTAAAGCCAGGCATCGTGAATCACAGCACGGTGCAGATACTTACAGAATGGAACAACATACAGTGTCCTATCCGGGACTGGATATCCTCGGGGCCAGCATTACAGGAATCCTCTCTCAAAAGTTTCCACGTCTGACACTGGCAGTCAAAAGCAAACAATCCACTGAACTGGGGTTCGCTGGCTCTGCTGTCATCAACACTCCCATTGCAGGTCAGAATTCTGCCTCCAAAGGTATAGATCATGTGTTTTTCAGAATCCATGCACATCTGAGAACGAGAGCAGCAGGTTGAAGCCAGCACATGACGACTCGAAAACGTTAAGGTTTAAGATTAAACATCCCTCCCCTGCAAAGCGATACCTGTAAGACACATCTCCTCAACCCCTAATGAGCAGAAAAGAATCCGTGTCTTCACCGTTGACAGGTATTAATCTCAGAAAACGGTCCTTTATTTAAAATGTGAGTCTAATTTTAACTTGGTTATTTAAGAAGAAAGAAAAAAAAAAAAAGAGGCTACATGCTCCTTTCATCACGTAAAAAAACCTGCCTCCAGCTGCTGATTTTAGCAGAAAACATTTCAGAGTTTTTCACCAGGATCCATGGCCAATTCTGTCAGCAAGTTAACAGAATATCATCTCTAACAATGGCTATACAGGGGAAAAATTCAAAATTACCACTCAACCAACCCAAAAGCATTGTGCAATTTGTTACTTGGATTCCATCCCAAGCATATATTTATTGTTACTCCTATTACTTCATCATAAAGTAGGGCCATAACCTGGCCAAGGATTTTTGATGAGACTGCAGCAGAAATAGATTTATCCCTGAAGCCTGAATGCCTGTTATGGCACACAAGAGATGCACCACGGAACAAATCAAACAAACCTCCCTGGCTCCAGGTGATATTTCCAGACTCAGTGCAACGCAGAGCGTTGCAAAACACCGGGGGGAGAAAAAAAACAGTGAGATAGAGATGCTACTCAGCAAAGTCTACACCAAACACTTCTAGTGCAGCACATTTTTGTGAAGGTTAAACAAAAAGAGCTATCGCTGTAGGTGCTGAAGGAGAGAAGAGGAAGAGCTGCAGATTGATAAAGAATTCAGGGAGGACATTCTTTCCTAAGAGACAGCAGGGGGAAAAAGAAACAATATTTCAGAAGTAGGCAAGCAAGGTACCTGGAGTAGCCTTGCCAGCTGACTATTTACTTCTGCCTTTTCCCCAACACCTGGGAGCCTGGTATTCGTTATTAATAGAACAGAAAGACTGATTGGCTTTTGTTCTGCAGAAAACATGTATCTTAAATTTTCAGTGTCAGCAGAAACGCATATTGTGCTGGCAAACAGCAGCTTTGGTTACAAAACAGCTAGTACCAATAAAATCAGTTCTTGGGCTGCTTTAAAAATGAGTACTGATGTGCTGCTGCTTGGTCATGCTTTGTGAAAATCAATTAAGAACAAAATACCCTTTTTTCAAGTACACAAAAGCCATCAAACACAATTAAAAAAATATTCAGGTTGAACACATGGACAGGTGTGGCTTTTTAAAAAATCAGTAGCCACTCCTTTCAGGTGTTTCAATCTCTACCAAGCAAGCACATGCTACAAATTTTAAGAGATAACCAGTTTTGAAAGAATCCTGATCCTCTTGGCCTCATTTCAGCAGCTTGTGTATAGTTTTCTTCTGCAGGTACAACACACAGCTTTGCAAGTTGTTGCCCAAACACCCTCTGAGATCTGCAAACCTAGCTCAAACGAGACCGATTAAAACCAGATGAACTGTGCTTTGAGCTTCAACAAAATGTGTCTTAATCAAATGAATTGGTTTGCAAAGGTGTTTTTACGATTCTTCTGACTCGTTTGATAGCAGTATTCAGTGCCTTTAGACAACGCTGTTATTGGAATTTAATTGAGTGCAGATCACAGCCTCATCGCTGCTCTGTTACCTGGTAGAGAACTTCTAAATCACAGGAGGCTACAATCAAAAAATTGGTGAGCAAACATTGAGATCTTTAGCTGACCTGATGATCAAACACCAGCTTTGGACCTCCATCCGCCGCAGTGTCCTCACTCAGTAACATCCAGGTGTTTGTGTCGATGTCGTAGCGGTAGAAGTCACTTTTCAGGGATTTGCTGTTCCTCACGGAGGAATCCAGATAGCGCCCCAGCGTGTAGATCTGCCTTCGTTGGATGTCAATGCACATCTTGTGACAAGATCTGGCGCTAGGACCACTCTAATAAAGAAAACAACCACAAAAATAAAGAGAATAAAATATCTAATATTGCTCCGGGTAGAGTCATAGTCATAGAGTCATAGAGTCGCCCAGGCCGGAAGGGACCTCCAAAGGTCAGCAGTCAGCAGGGACACCCCCAACTAGACCAGGTTGCCCAGGGGCTCATCGAGCTTCATCTTGAATATCTCCAGGGATGGGGCCTCAACCACCTCCCTGGGCAACCTGTTCCAGTGGTTGGTAGGTCACCGCACACTCAACTAAGGGCAAAGAAGTACTACCAGCAACTGGAAATCATTTGAGAATTCAAGAAAATCTGCTTGTAATCAGGCAAATACAGGATTAATACACAAGTATCTATATAACATGACATCCCGTAACTTCTTCGTCCTTTAGAAAGGCACCAGCAAAAACCTTAACCCATTTTTCGCAAACTTATGACTTGAAGCTTTTTTGTAGGATTCCTTAGAAAACAGACTGTTTCCTCCAGAAGTGATTCTCAGCGGCGTGTGAAAGCTACTTGATCTTTTAAAATAACAGAAGTCGATGCAGATGAGAGGCAAATTAAGATGTCACAGCCTATAAATAACTACATAGGAAGAAGATTAAGAAGTGCTCTATTACAAGAGCCTCTGTTTTATTAATAGGCTGTTTTCCAACAGATCATAACCAGACGCTCCCACAAGCAATCACAGCCCATAATGGGGCTTTGAAGGTAACAAAAACACTCCCTGTCCTTCACAAATAGATACGGGGCCCTTCCAGCCTCTAACTATGGGAAGGTTTCCCACAGTGAGCAACTCTGCAGTGAGTTATGATCTTCGAGAGAAATACAGAGGGTCCCCGTCAAATTATGATGTGCTTGTCCATCTAGGAGTTAAATCATAGAGTAATTTATTCCCTGACATTATGAGGATGCTACGCAGAACTGGGCAGCATCCTTTCTGCTTCCCAAATCTAATTTTGAGAGCTTTCATACGCTCTTCTTGAAGCATGAGAGGTATTCTCATACTCCAAAACACTAGAAATCAGGATGCTCAAAGTCCTGTTGCAAAATGTCAGACAAAAGAAAAAAATGGCATCATGCCCACAGATAATTTCTACAGTTTATTTGGCCTTATTTTGTATAATTTTGGTACTTTATAAATGAGGATGCCAGAACAAAGCTGGAGAGTCTGGAAACCAACATGAGAACTGATTAAGATTTCAACTGCCAAAGAACGGTAAGAGGTACAGAAGACTGAAGTATGAAAGAGAGAAAAAAAAATCTATTGAAAAATAAAGATTATGCAAGAAGGCAAAGATGTAGCAAACCACCATTTTTTGAAGAATTACAACTAAAGAAAAGTAGTCGTGTCATACCAAGTAATCGGCAGCATATTTACTCCATGTGCTACCTAATACTGCCTTCTGGAAAAAAATAATCTTCATAACTAGACCATTTCATGTAAAAATTTATACTGAAATCATTGCTGAAATTTAAAATACGCTGATGGAGTACACTTCATGGATTTGGAAAAAATATGAAAGGAAGCGTTACAAAAGACTTTATTACTCATGCTACAGAACTCAATTTCTTGTTTAAACAACAGTTAGGGGAAACTGTTTACAGTAACTCAAATGGCACATGAAAGGAAGCGTTACATCTTTGTAGTCAAAAGACTTTACTACTCATGCTACAGAACTCAATTTCTTGTTTAAACAACAGTTAGGGGAAACTGTTTACAGTAACTCAAATGGCAATCTGAAGAGGTGAACTGAATTGTTCCTATTTTGTAAATATGAAACATTCTGTCTGAAGTGATTACAGCCTTGAGGATTAGTTACTTCATGGTAATTAAGATCATTTTCTTTTCAAAAAAAAAAAAAACCAACCAAAAAAGTACTGATAGAAGCAAAATATTAGCATACAATCCTGAAATGCAGGAAAAGTTCGTTCATTGCCTTTGGTCACATGGAAGAAGCTGACAGAGAAGGCAGCAACACACTTTACTTTCTTCCTAAAAAATACAAAATAGCATCTTCCAAAGGACCCTGTTTCAAACACAAAGGGTGGTTTCTTTGCATGAAAAGAACCAGTTTGTGTAATCACAAAGGTTCCCCCTGTTTCACAAGAAAGTTACCCCAATAGACAAAATCCATCTCTAGTTACGCAGCTGGGACACTTCAGGATATGCCATGGTTCCCCTGCCAAAGAGCACGTATTTGCCTTGGCACAGCCATCCTTTAGATGGAATGGTAGGACCTACCTGGGCCTCCTGGCTCTCCCCACTTTGTCAAGTCATTGTAGTTTTTTAACTGAACCCACCTATTTAAGTACCTTCCCCGGCTCCCTCACCTCTGTCTGCTCTATGGGGTTAAGTAAATCCTACCACATTTGCTCAAATAATGTCTTTGGCACTTTCAGGAATAAATCTCCCATTTAGCGACTTCCAGACCTGCCTTGCCTTGAAAAGCTGCATCATAACTGAAATTTATCCAAATGCAGACATGAGGCTGAGACACCTCACACCTGTAATACCAGTTTCAAGCCATTGGTATCAACAGCACAGGGACTACATCCAAGTAGCATACAACTTATAGGCGTACAACATACAAACTTCAACTCCCAAGACTATGTTAAAATGAGAAAAGAATTCAGGAAAAACATCTTTTCTTGAATTGTGCACTGGTCACGTCTCACATGGTAGCATCTGCCTTTTTAAAGGGCTATTAAAGGTTTTAAGTTTGATCATTTCATCACAGAAACTTCACCTCAAGTTCACTCACAAATTTCAACTCCACCAACTTGCAGAGCTTGATGTAGCATGAACTCTTATGTAATAAAGAAATCCTCATCCAATTAATCATCTTTTCTCAAAGAAAAGTGGAGTAATTCCGAAGTACCACTCACAAGATCACACAGAACCTGCCAAAAGTTTCCAATTTAGTCTACACATTTACCAAGATGAGTAAACAACTCCATTAAACGGTGGTACACGTTGGTTTGACATTTGAGGTTGCTCACTTGAGGTCTACTCAATTTGAGGAAGTCCTGGTGGTGTGTACATACCTCAAAGGGGGACACAAAGTCCATTTACAAAGGCAGATATGGGCAGACACTGAAAATGAATCAAACACTTCAAGGCACATGTGGTTAAGTGAATCAAGAGTCTGTGGGCGGTTGCGAACGTTCATCCAAAGACGTGGCCTTCAATGCGGTTACAATAGCGAGCCTGTTGTCCAGACAAAGAACATACTGCCACAACTTGTCATGGAAAAAGTGGCCCACCAAATTCAAATGGGAAAGAGCTCGTTGATTCCAGAAGCATTCAAAGAACTTGACAGCTTATAAGCAACAAACGAAAAAAAAAATTACAATAACAGACATGACTTTTTTTAACCTACATTTGAAGGGATCAAGTATGGTTTGAGAGCAGGAGAACAACCCTTTGTCCCCTCCTGCCAGGATGTAGGCAGGCTGGCGATCCATGAGTTGCCATCCCAAGGTGAGTGGATCTTACTAGAGATCTCTATACCCTTACTCAAATTTGGGACTTATCATCAAAGATAAACTGGAGACACACAAAAGGTATCTATTGACTTGCTGCTCCTCTAAGCACACTAACTGCCATTCCCAAACACATCTGCAGCTGATAAGGACAGTTTCACCCACACACTGATAACAACAAGAGAAGATTAAACAAACCCAAATCTTCTTCGAAAGGCTGAGAGACCTGGGGCTGTTTAGCCTGGAGAAGACTGAGAGGGAATCTCATCAACACTGACCAGTATCTAAAGGGCTGGTGGAAAGATGATGGGGTGAAAGATGATCTTCTTAGTGGTGTCCAGTGACAGAACATGGGGCAAGGGGCATGAACTGGAACACGGGAAATTCCCTCTCAACATGAGGAAAAACTTCATTACTTTGAGGGTGCCAGAGCCTTGGAACAGGCTGCCCAGAGAAGGCCTGGAGTCTCCTCTGAAGATATTCCAAACCCACCTATATGCATTCCTGTCCAGCCTGCTATGGGTAACCCTGGTCTGGCAAGGGGTTTGACTAGACGATCTCTGAAAGTCCCTTCCAAACCCTACAGTTCTGTGATTGCTGAGCAGAACAAAAGGCAAGTACCAGTTTTGACTAGTTTGCAATCATCTGCTCCTGTGGTTATCTGAAATCATAACAAATAAGACTTCTTATTAAGTACTTATACTTTAGATCTAATTTCATTGAAACGTCTTCAAAGTTGTTCTCATGTGGGATCTACGTTCTTGTAGATGAAGCTTCAAGAACGGATTGACTGATGTCACAGAGAGGTATTGCTTCCTAAGTGGAGCATGTATCCTTCAGCCTGGAGAAAAGGAGGCTGAGGGACTTCTCACTCTCTACAACTATTTGAAAGGAGGGTGTAGCGAGGTGGGGGTCAGTCTCTTCTCCCAAGTAACAGGCAATAGGACAAGAGGAAACAGCTTCAAGTTGCGCCAGGGGAGGTTTAGATGGGATATTAGGAAAAAAATCTTCACTGAAAGGATTATCAAACACCAGAACAGGCTGCTGAGGGAAGCGGTGGAGTCACCATCCCTGGAGACATTTAAAAGACGGGTAGACGTGGTGCTTAGAGATATGGTTTAGTGATGACTTTTGTCAGTGTTAGGTTGATGGTTGGACTGGATGATCTGAAAGGACACTGTAGAAAGGTTGGTGCTGGTCTCTTCTCACAGGTAATTAGTGACAGAACAAGAGGGAACGGCTTCAAGCTCCAACAAGGTAGGTTTAGGCTGAACATTAGGAAGGAATTTTTCGTCTTCAAAGTTGTTCTCATGTGGGATCTACGTTCTTGTAGATGAAGCTTCAAGAACGGATTGACTGATGTCACAGAGAGGTATTGCTTCCTAAGTGGAGCATGTATCCTTCAGCCTGGAGAAAAGGAGGCTGAGGG